TTTTTTTTTGAAATTTTTAAGAATTTTAATTTTTTGATATTATTTATATTTTATAAATTTAATTTTTTTAAATATTTATATCTTTTAATTTAAAAAAAATTTTAAATATTAAATTTTAAAAAATTTTAAATTTATGTTTTTTATAAATTTTTTACTTAGTTTTTATTTTTTTTTTATTTTTTTCCACTAAAAATTTAAATTTAACACTGATAAAGAGTAAAGAAAAAAAACTCGTAGAAGTTTCCAAACTCAATTGCCTGGCTCAGTTCCCAATCAAGTTACCAAAACTCCAAGAGTAAATTTGCAAATCAAGATTCATACAGCAACAACACGGAGAGAAATCGCGGGTTTCCTTAACCTAATCCATACAACCTCTCTCAGGTTCAGTTCTTACTTAATTAAACCTCTGAGAACCCACTGCAATGAACGGTGGTGGGAACAACGCGCCACCGCCTCCCGCCGGCAACGGCGGTGAGTTCCTGCTTTCCTTACTCCAGAAGCCTGCACCAACGCAGTCGCAACAGCAGCAGCAACAACAACAATCTCCATTATTCGGAACAGCTGCTGCTCCCATGTCAATACCTCTACAACAGCCGCCGTCGCTCCAGCTCCAGCAGCATGTTGCTCTGGATCCTGCTGTTGCAGCTGTGGGTCCTTCCCTTCCTTTTCCGCCACCTTGGCCATCAAATGGCCGTGAGCTTCCCGCTCCCTGGCCTCACGTTTTCTCTCCCCCTCTGCTTCCTAATTTCTTAGGGTTTCCCCAAAATCCCTTCCCTTCCCACGGGAATCCATTGACCGGAAATCAAGGAGTTTTGGGTAACGATTTGAGGGGTTCAGGGTCTTCGGGGATTGATACAAATTTTACAAATTATGCAATTCAAAATCTGATTCTTCAAGAGCGGCAACCGCAAGAGCACAAACTCATGTTTGGTTCTTTTCCAAGTGAGATGCACGTAACGAGTTTACTTAATGAGATGCGATCCGAGACTTTGCAATCCAAGATATTGAAGGAGCGTGAAGCTGCATTGGGCAGCAGGAGCTACAACGGCTTGGAGAGGAATCAAGAAATTGACTCCCGAGGGAATACCGGACCGAATTCGAGTCACCGTGAATTTCAGAATCGAAATTCTGATGAAAGGAGGGCCGGAGGGTGGGGTAGACATCAGCACCCTGATGGGAATTACAGGCCAATGACATCAGTGGAAACTCAAAGGCCTCCTCCAGGGTTTGGAAGCA